CGCCGGCAACGTCAGTGAGTTTTGCCATTCTTAGCACCATACTACAATTCATCAGAGACAAGTGAAGCCGATCATTTGACCAAATGTGTGCTAGTTGTGGTATCTCTCCTTCCGTCCTGGGCTATTCACATTTCCTATATCCTCGTATCATGACTTCATCATCACATTTTTTATTTACTTATTTAAATGTGGTATGGTGTGCCCTCTTGAGCGGCTTTCATGTGAATCCTCCACACTCTAAGCTAGCGTTCCCACCTCTCCTTCTCCGTTGTGCTGGGAATGTTGATCAGAATCTGCCATATTGTTACACAGTTCTCCTTCCCTAGGTCTTATCACAGTCTCTCTCTTGTCCCGTAAAATCCGTCTGCTATCGCCCTGGTTCAAGCATTTCGTTCGACCTCCGCCACCCAATCTGCGTTACTTGAGGCGTTATTTCCCACACTCTGCGTCTGGGTGATTAATTCGAGGCTAAAGCCACTTTGTAAGTATCATGCTCAAGCTTTTGCTACATGGACCACGTTTATGGCAAAAAAGCCTACTGTCAGCCAACTAGCTCTAGTCGCCGCCGCATCTATCCTGTTTCTATCCCTAATACCAAGTCTATGACTTGCTATGTCCTAGTCTCTTGTGTGCCAACTCAAAAACGTTGTAGTCCAACATTGAACCTTATTAAAGCAAGTAGTACCACAACATTTGTGGGTTGTCACACAAGAGACTAAGGCATAGCAAGTCATAGACTTGGTATTAGGGATAGAAACAGGATAGACGCGGCGGAGACTGGAGCTAGTTTGCTGACTGTAGGTTTTACCAGAGACGTGGTCCCTGTAAAAAAGGCTTGACGATGAGACTTACTCAGAGGCTTTAGCCTCGAATTAGTCACCCAGACGCCTCGAGTAGCACAGATGGGGTGGCAGGGGTCGAGTGAAATACGTGAACCAGGGAGATAGCAAACTGATTCTACGGGGCAAGAGGAAGAGACTCTAATAAGACCTAGGAAAGGACTGTGTAGCAATATGACAGACCACACTACATTGAAATAGACACGGTAAAAATTAAAGTGAAAGCGTTATAAA